GATTTAAAATGTCGTCTTCCGGAAAAAATGTTTGGTTTGTCGGAAACAATTTTCGGTTTGTCGGAAAAGTACTGCCCTTGCTCCCCCCCTCCCCCCACCAAAAAAAAACATGGGACCCACGGCGCCACTGAAGCTTGATGAGTTACAACCTCGTATCCAGGGTCCCCGTGTTTAAAGGTGCACCAGAACCTTTGAACACGGGGACCCTGGGTACGAGGTTGGATGAGTTCTTCGCCTTTGGAGATTTTGTGACATCTTCTTTGTTGTATATCAATTAAAATAATGCGGTCCTTTTCCAGCCTCGTACCCAGGCGCTTCTATTTTAAATGCGCTAAGAGCGCGGGGGTGCTTGGGGAAGAGTCCCGCGCGCGTGTACTGAATTAAATGAATTATGCGAGAACTGAATTCAATAAATTATGCAGAAGACGCCTGGATACGAGGCTGGTCTTTTCCAACAACTTTTTACAGATTATTGTTGTGTACCATACATTTTCTGAAGTTTGTTTGGTAATTTCGAATTTCGCTGTGAAGTTGGTTGCCAAGCTCCTTGGCAATAAATGATTCCCCTTATTACGTTTTCGTAGCGCTTTGCATTGTGGTTATAGTGGTATCACTGATATTCAGGATATGGCTTATTTCTTGTCCTGACCCGTGCAAGAACTTTTAAAACAGCTAGGGTCAGGTGCACGATAGCGAGAAGCAAAATATTCGCGAAAACATTCAATATTTTCATTCGAGGCTATCTTTATCAGTGATACCACTATAACCACAATGCAAAGCGCTACGAAAACGTAATAAGGGGAATCATCTATTCCAAACGTGATTATTTATGAATTTCTCAATCCAGTTATGTTTTGAAAGCAAGCGCTCCAGCTCTGTTCGGCAATACTAGGCCCTTCCAGATTGTGTTAACATTTCTTTTTCTTCATTTTTCTCAAAAAAAAAGAATTGCTAGCATAATTTAGCACTTTTCGCCAATTTTTGTATAGATTTTGGTTGTCAAAAGCAACTTTGCTTGTTCTAAAAATAACTTATATAGCAGTGCTTAATTGCAGGTAATGAGGGATGTCCCGAAGCAGAAATTAGGCCAAGAAATATAGCTCGACACGGATCAGCGCGCACGGTGTCTTATTTTGCTTTTGTTTTTTGAAAATAATAAAAAATGAGCATAATTTGAGTATTATTTTTGGGAAAACGCATTTCGAGGAGCACCAAATGCCAGTTTTCCTATAGCACAATCGGGAAGGGTCTATAGCCTTAGGCCAAGCAGCCACTAGCTATAGACACTACTAGCGACCATATAATGGTTATTTTACACAATGGTTGAGAATTACAAAGTTGAGAAATGAGGCACAGTCCCAAACATTTTGACGAAGGAACATCTCTATTTTCGGCAAGTTGTCCTTTCGGCAAACTGTTCGTTCGGCAAACTGTTCGTTCGGCAAAATGTCCGTTCGGCAAAATGTCCGTTCGGCAAAACGTCCGTTCGGCAAAATGTCTTTCGGCAAAATGTCTTTCGGCAAAGTGTCTTTCGGTTTTTGTCACAAATTCAGTAAAACAGGAAGCAACAACAGCTGTTTTAACATCCCTGCTCTTGTTCCAGACTTTGAACATAAAACGTAATATTTACATATAATTTTCCGCATGAATACTTATAACGATGAACAATTTTGTGCGACCGCGGACCGAGTCAAATGCCCGACGGGGCGGGCTCAGATTCGCGTCAAATTCCCGCCTGGGCGTGATTAAACTCTGGTCAAATCCCGGGGGTTCGCCCGGGGGGATGATCGCAGTTGGAATTGACTGATACATAAAGTGTTCTTTATAAAACCATGGATAATAAAATAAATGGATAGGAAACTAGCTGAAGTGACCTAATGTTTTCAATGGGCTGATGGCGTGATTGGATGTCCAAACCCAGTTGTAAAACAAATTCTCAAAAACGGCATGTTTAGCAATAATACAACTAAACATTTTAGTCAAAGATCAAATAAATATAACCACGCCATTCTACGATGAAAACTCTAAGTATTCCCAGTCAATATTTCAAGCACTAAACAGTGAAAAATACATCGCAAATTTCGTTAAAATTTGTGACGTAGCTACAAATGTAAAAAAAAAACGAAACAAAGACGAAAAACATTTACCTTGAATACTTTGTCGTGGCTTAGGCATGTTTTTAAAACAATTAGACCAGATTATGCTTCAATATCAACTTTTTAAAGTGGAAAATATAGCAAAACAACAAAAAAGCCGAGAACTTTGGTAATATTCGCAATGCGCGTGACGTCACGTTTTTTAACAAGGATGAGGTCAATGACGTCAGGAAGTTTCCTATCTAGTTATTTTACAATCCGTGATAAAACTAAACTGCCTTTAATTAAATGGCTTTATCGATAAATTTTGAGTTTCCAATAAAATGATTTCAAATTCTCGCATGCATAAAAAAGGGAATCAATATTAATATAAATACACTGAAATTATATGCTGTCTTGTTTAGTTGTTTCATATACGCAAAGTGCCAACGGCCATTGGGTTTTAAAGCAATTATAAAATCAATATTTAAAACAAACTTCGCTAATGCTTTCGTTTCCCCGGGTGTAAATAGCCGGGGGATTAGTCCCCTCGCACGGCGCTTCGCGCCGTCGGCTCGGGGATTGGAAATAGAATGGAAGAGAACACGGCCCACATGACTGTTCCGAATTGTTCTGACTACCCCGATAACTACTTCGATCGAGTTTTCGAACCTTGCGGCAGGCTATTTTGATGCTAATTGATGCGTTGTTTTTAAATCCTGCGCAAAATCATATTTGAAGGCTTATATTATGACTTTGGGCAGGATTTAAAAAACGCATCAATTATCACATAAAGTTATTGTATATTTTAGAAGTTTAATGTTATTTTATATGCTTTTATGCTTAACAATATTATTGTATATAGATTCCTATATTGATTAATAAACTGGAAAGTGAATGTTCAAACCGGATTTTTCTTCTTACACATGCATGAATGACTCATTTGAGATGCCTGAAATCAGGAGTACAATAAAATGAATCTCTTGATTTATAACGTGTATTGCAATGCAAACTCGTCTTTAATAGAGTATTGCAACTATTAAGTTGTCATTCTTGCTGGATCCTGCAGGAGTTGTTGGTTCAAAAAGTTATCGATGACTGTTACGATGCTATACCATATTCTAATGACAGCGTAGCTTTCATCAGGCTCCAGTTCAGTGCACATGTAGGGCATTTAAAACAAAAGAATCAGGCTAGCTCACAACTCATTATTTGACCTATATAACAACTCATTATTTGACCTCCATTCGTCTTTGGGTGGAAGTTACCTTATACCATGCCAGAATATATTGCATATGGTTGTTTTCCATTTCAATCTATATCGTACAGTAGCATTTACTTTTGTGTCAATACATGTCATTAGTTCATTCTTAGAGCTGGTTTTCCATTAGGCGGAATTCTGCGCGCGAAGGGAATTTCTTGTCTTATGATTTCTTGGGTGGAACTAATAAAAGAGAAAAAGAAAAATTCCGCCTATTGGAAAACCGGCTTGTGCGATTTGGGAACGTGACGCGATTTTTCAGTTTTTGAAATTTATTAAACCGCGTCTATGAAAGGAAATTTTAAAACTACGCAGACCAAATAACTCAAAATGTTATAGCATAGTTCTAAATATTTGAAAAACTTAAGCCAGAATCTAAGTTATCTGTCAGTGAAAGTCAAAAAATCGCGTCGCGTTGTTGGCGAAATCTCATTCGGTGTGTCTGCATTTAGTGCGGCTCAGTGGAAAGCGGCTAAAGTGGGAAACAGGCTTGATATGGACAGAGAGGGCTTCACTATAGGAAAACACGTTGGAAGTGAATCACGAATCGTGAAAACCAGTTCGTAAAATGTCTCGCACTCAATGCTCGAAGTCTGATGAGTTTACATAAAACCAACATCGGAAACAATTTGACAGATACTAACATTGAACGCTTCCAGAACTTGGTCTATTCTGAAGATCCCGATATCGTTTGTGTCAACGAAACGTGGCTTAATGAGGATATTAAAAACTCTGAAATTCTCCATTCGGGATATGACATATTCAGGAACGATCGCGGATCTCGTGGTGGTGGAGTACTGTTAGCGATAAAGATTTCTTCATTTAAATCAGTGCGGGAAATTCAACATGGTCATGATTTGGAGATCTCCATG